GAACCTCCCCACAAGGACTTTCCGGCTAAAAAACGTTGAGCCTTGGTCAACCCTTTTCTTCCTTTCGAGCTCCTTCACTCTAATTACTTCTGATGTCTAGCTCGCAGCCCGCAAAAAGAGAAATTGGAAGAGGCCACACATAATGGACAACATCCATTCGGTAAAAGCTGTGTAAAGAAACGAATCCAAACCATTTTACAGACTGAACCACCAACATATGAATGGCAAATCATTTTTTGAAGTCAATGTGAGCAAAGCTATCACATCTCCTGAGGCCGAACTAGCTCATCTCGCGCATTATTGCAGCACAAAACGCTTCTTATGTGCACTTCGCCTCCCTAATAACCTTAAAGCTTTCACTTGGGCACATCTTCATGGAAATCACGCATACGCAGCGTACACCGTGAGCAACAGAAAAACATTTGAAAGGCATTCCGCACGAAAAGGAAACTTTATGGCAAAGACTTAACATGTATTAAGAACTTTCAGTCATTGTCAAGAGAAAGTTTCCCGGAAACACATCGAAAACTTAATAAACTTTGCACTGTAAGGAAAGTCTCTGGATTAAGTGTGCCACTTGGCTGCACTTTTGCTGTTTCTGTCTAAAAAAGGTTAGGTCCAAAAATACATGCAGGCATCGACTCGTTTCAGAACTTTGTTTCTCGTATAAAATGTTACAAGTAAAAAGCGAGAAATTACCAAATTGTTTTTGCCAACTTATTTTTTCACAAATTGCTCAATAAATTCTGGCAGAATAAACAATTTAACTGACAGGAGAAATATTAGTTGAATTAGTTATATGGTGTGTTCTTATAGAATTTCTTCAAGGTCTCCTTCTCTTTGGAAATGCGTCGCTTATGCATCCGAGTTCCCTTTTCGCTGGACCTGCTTCTGCAGGGCTCTGCCAAAGCAAACAGCTATCTCTGAATAATGGATTTTTCTCAGCACCAACGTTCTCCACGGCTAGCAGTAAGTACCAACTGCAAATCCTCCCCTAGGCGCCAAAGGAAAAGAGTTCTTCCGCAGCACGCTGCAGCCAAGTGATATCGAAAAGCAATTTCCGCTATTACCACGGCATCGCCCTAATCCTCGCAACGGATGGAAATAAACGAGGGGCCACCAGAGATACGCTGCGTACACAGAAGCTGAATTAAACGGACAAGGCGTCGCCAGGACAACGAACACAACGAAGTAGTCACAGTAACCGAAGTCAATCGAATATAAACAGATTGAAGCCAGAACAGAAGTGGAGTGAAAGCAAGTCCCAAAAAGAAATAAACTCAATATAAATTGGATTCCAGCGAAGATGTTTTGGGGTCTCAGCTCAGCGGTTGACTTTTACGCCGAGTATGTGAAGGCGTTCAAGATCAAGGAAGAGCAGGGGGGATGCGGAGACGGAGCATCATCTCCTTCCGGAGCGCTTAATATTTTGATCTGCGGCGGTGCCGATCCGCGCCACATAATCAAGACACTGGCAAAGCGGTATACATACAAAAGCAAGCCCAAGCTGAACATATACGTGCTGGACGGGTGCGCCGAGATAGTGGCCCGAAATATGCTGCTTCTGGGTGTGGCCTTGGAGGCTCCAGAGTCCTTTAGTCTGGGGTACAAGGCCCACCTCTTCATGGACATATACGGGAACTCGTTGATGCGACCGAGCTCCCACCACTACGTGGCAGCGAAGGGCCGCACACTGCTCAAAATGGTCACTGACAAGGAGGAGCTGCAGCGCCTGGCGCCCATGCTCAGCTTGGAGGGACTCAAGTACAAGGAGCGCGACGGCCTCGAGATGGCCTTCAGCTTCTGGCAGCCTCAACCGTGGCACCAGTACAACATTGCCACCTACTGGGAGCAGCGATCGCGTGCCCTGCTGGGCACTCGCTACGACCACCGCAACGGCGCCTTTGACTGGGACCTGTGCATGACCCTAAAGGAGCGCGAGGGCCAGCAGATCTGCTCGCAGGAGTACCGCTACTGGCGGGAGTGCGGGGTGGCCTTCGTTTTCCCCGAGTACGAGCAGTGCAAGCCAAACAAGACATTCGCTGCCGGGCTGGTGCGCGACGGACGCACCTATTTGCACCGCGGCTACGTAGGTGACATCCAAACGGGCCCCTTCTGCGGCTTTGGGCTGCGCACCACAGAGGAGCGAATGCACAACTCTGCGCACGGCGAAAACGACTATCGAGCCACCGACGTGACCGAGCGCAACCTGCTCGAGCTCTTCTACGAGCTGCAGACCCAGACCGCCTATGAGCACGATTCCACACGCTCACGCCGCTACGGATCGGTTCAGTTGCTCATGACGCCCTTGCTCACCCACAACGAGTGCGATGCAGGTGAGGGGCAGGTGATCTACGATCGACCCTGGATCCAGGTGCCGGATGTGACCGTGCACTATTTGTCGCCAATGGAGATGGTGCAGCTGCAACAGGGAGCCGCACGCTGGGCGAACACCTTTGACATTGCCTTCGTTGCCTACAACTACTTCTCCTTCTTGGGCCAAGAGTTCTTCCAGACCCTGCGTGCGCAGGCCCTCTTCCTCTTGGAGACAAAGCTATTGACGGTGGAGCGCAGGGATCATGTGCAGGACTACGAGGCCAAGGCCATGGTGCTAATGAAGGAGGCTGGCTTGAAGGCTGTCATCAATTACCAGGCCATCAATGGGAAGCATATGCTGCTGAAGTACAAGAAAACTGAGGAAGCTGACACAGGCGAGGACAAGGACGAGGGCGTTAATTCTAAGGCTGAACCCGAGGCTGATGCAGACGCTTTATCTCAGACAGAGACTTATCCTGAAGTAGGTCAGATCTACCAGGCAGAAGATGGTCAGGCTGAACCCGAGGCTAAGCCCGAGGCTGATGCTGACGCTGAATCTCAGGCAGATACTTATCCTGCAGAAGGTCAGATCTACCAGGCAGAAGATGCCCAGGCCAATTACCATGCTATCAATGAGAAGCATAAGCTGCTGAAGTACAAGAAAACTGAGGAATCTGACACAGAGGAGGACAAGGACGAAGGCGATGATGCTAAGGCTGAACATGAGGCTAAGCGCGAGGGTGATGCTGACGCTGAATCTCAGGCAGATACTCATCCTGCAGAGGGTCAGATCTACCAGGCAGAGGAAGATGCCCTTGAGAGCAACTAGACTGAACCTTCTAAATTTCAATAAATGTTGTTTATTCAGTTCTCCCTTTTCTTTTTCTTCTTTCCCGCTGCCCATGTGTCCAGTTGAAACTCCATGCCCTCTTTTCGTTGACGCAGTGCCTGGGGGGGTGCGGCAAAGGCCGTGGCATGCCTGCGCTCCTCGAAGTCCAGCAGATGATCGATACGCACGTTGAGTTTTCTCGCCCGCGTCCCAAGAGCTTTTCGACTATCCTCCCTCCTTCGCTGAGAGTCCATGTCAACGACCTTTCTGCGCGGCACATGCCTCAGCGCAGAATCCCAATTACCGGTATTCTTCAGGTCCAGCATGATGTTGATCATTTGGTTGAGGGTCAGGGACTTTCCCGATCCAGAGCCCCACTGCAGGTATCGATCCAGTGGCAGGCGGGCCATGCGCAGACCAAGCCGCTTCGCCTTAGCCAGCGACAGGGGCTCGTTGTTCATCGTATCCACCATGGCGCCAACAATGTATATGTCGTCCGGGTTGTAGGTGACTAGATCCTCGCGGCAGTGCGGCGTCAGATAGACCAGACTCTGCTTATCGAAAATCTCAGTGAAGCATTGAGTGTGCACATTCATTGGAAACTCCGGATTGAGCATGGTGGGGATGTAGCGCTTCAGGCTCTGCATGCACCTTCCCTCCATCAGGGCGTTGCAGTAGTGCAGATCGAAGGGCTCGTCGTTGAGGCGGTTTTCGGCGAAGCACAGCATGAGCTGCTTCGCCGCGTAGGAGGCCTCTCGATTGTTCATGTGGGTGTCATAGGAACAGTCTAGTACCATCTTGGGGGCGAACTGCATGGCCCGCGTCAGCCGGTTGTTTTGCCAGTGGTTGATTGTTGTGTCGTAGATGCGCAGGAACATCGAGGTGTGGGCCAGGCCATAGATTATGTGGGTGTTTTCCTCCCGCTCTTTTCGCAGCTCTGCGATCCGACGCTCTGTGTCTTCGGCTCGCTCTGCTTTCTTTCGCTGGTCCGCCAACTTTTTCATATTTATCTGCCACAGAAAGGCGTAGTATTTTATGCGTGCCGATTTCGAGGGCAACGACAGCACGTGGTCCCAGTGATGGTCCTCGAAAAAGTCTAAGGCAGGCACGCGACGGCCCTCCTGATGGGCAATATCAGCCTCCAGCTGCAGCACCTTTCTCCTTTTCTCCCGATCCTCTTTGGTTTCCGCATGCCCATCGCTCATCGCTGGACTAGACTGTGCAAAGGGATTCGTAAACTTCTTGGGGGCCCCTTCACTACCGGCCAGCGGGTTTTCGCCGCCGAATGTTTTGAATGAATCCGAGACTCTCCTAGCAGGTGCAGCACATCCTTTCAGAATGTGACTCGCCAATCTCCATGGCCTTAGTGTTTTCAGCATTATTATTTTTTCAAAATTATTGCATAAATTGTTTTATAATTTCGAACAGCTGTGGTAGTTGTAGTAGCTCAGCTAGTCGACTGACGCTATTCCTCGATATTTATGTTCGGTTTAGTATGACCAACTAGCTAGGATCGTTGGCACTGAAAATATAGTTTTATCTCATTTATTAATCAAATTTCTATTAGATTTGATAATTTTAGCCACTCACTCTTAACAGATTGTATTTTTAAATCAAGTTTTAACAAATAAGAGGACGATTCTTGGAAAACTGAACTAGTTCGATCAGCGGAAAGGAACTGGAACAGCTAGATATGGTAGATTGTAAACTGGTATATATGTGGTCATTATTATGACTCTAGTATCTTCAAAACCTAATACCAAGTATTGTTTTTTCAGCGGAATATTTTTGGTATATTTTGAAAATGAGAACTTATATTTCGATATAGTTTTGAGGGTGTGACGGTATATTTGATCGATAATTCCGCGGTCACACTCTACAGCTGATGCTAATCGAAGTTTATTGTTTCTTTCTTTTTGTATTTGAACAAACTTCACAAAATGTTGAAACCCAAGGCACTCACACAAGTTCTAAGCCAGGCGAATACCGGAGGCGTCGAGAACACCCTGTAAGAGAATAGTTGTAATAGAGTAATTTAAATGCAGTCAAATAAATCAGTGTCTGTACTTGCAGTCTGCTCAGCCAGGAGGGTGCACTATTGGCCTACTCAGGCTATGGTGATAAGGATGCCCGCATTACTGCAGCCATTGCCAGCAATATATGGGCGGCGTATGAAAAACACGGACGGAATGCATTCCGTGAAGACCGATTGACCTTCGTGCTGATTGATTGCGAGACCGGTCATGTAGCCATAACACAGGCAAGCAGATCGAAAAAATCACCTGCTCTGCTTAGACTTTCTCGCTTAATCATATTTATTGCAGGTGGCTAGTGTGCTGCTATGCCTATATGCCCGGAGCCACGTTGGATTGGGCATGCTCAAGCAAAAGGCCATGTCTCTGGCCGCCTATTTGGAGAGGCCGCTTAAGATGATTTCGGCTTCTTGAAGAAGGCGAGTCCATGTCGAGTCGAGGGATACTCGTTGAATACATTTTTCTATATAAGTTTATACAGTAATGAAGAATTAGACACATGCCAATATACGTATTGTTTCAGATAGAAGAGTCAGGTTTATTTTCTGAAATATTTCTTTAACGTACACACAAAAGAGCTTAAAATACTCGTACATTTGAAAGAACTTTAGGACATAGTTATTAATATGCCGGGCTGAGCCGCAGCTGGTGCTTATTCGATGGCATACAGCTTCAGTGTGCGGTCCATGCTGGTGGATGCCAGATACTGTGCATGCTTTCCGAAGCGGACGCCGGTTGCCAGGGCCGTGTGGTCGTTGAATATCTTCAGATCCTGCCACTGCTTGCATAGGTAAACCCTAAAATGGAAAGAAAGCCGGGTATCGTCAATATAGTCGTCATGGCAGATGGTATTCCTGTGTCATAGCAACCATAAACAAGTAAACTAGTTCCCCAGAGGAAAAACAGCGCGTCACAGCACTGATGAAATGCAAAAATTTAAGAGAAAGGTTTACCGCAAATATGAAGGTAGCATTCAAGTATTCATTGTGATAATTAGGGTAGAATCCAAATTATTTTCTTTGATAGATTTCATACGCCCTCAGACCCACAAGGAGCCAGATGCCCCGAAGCCCATCAATCTGTCAATTGATGACTTCAATGCGGTATGGACATACAAAAACATGGAATGGTTTTGGTTTTTTACATGGTTTTGGTTACAGCGCGGCGAAATTGCCAATCCCCGAGCTCCATGCGTGGTGACCACCATCGATCCAGACTACATAACCGACGCCAGTGCGCAGCGATTGGCCAAAAAGTTCCGCATGAAAACGTGAGTGAATCGGAGGGGGTGTTAGAGAAAAACTAGATGCCATCGAAGAATTGAATCATTACTTTAGAGATGTTTTACTGCTGCGTGACATCACGCGGAACCGATTCATGTACTATGCCACGCAGGAGATGTTTCTGGACAGGAAACGCGAGAAGGAGCACCAGGACAGTCTGTACGAGAAGGCGGACAACTTTCACAAGTTCGCTGAAGAATCGCTCAAACAAATGGAAGCGGAGGAGTTTAAGAAAATGCTGCAGGCCCAACAGAAGCTGAAGATGCTGAAGGAGAACAAGGTGGCCGACGAGCTTAACGAGGTGACGCTCGAACACCAACGTGTGCTAATGGAGGTACAGGAAGTCTACGGCCGCTTCCAATACCTTCTCAAGCTAATCAGCTACTTTGACGACACGGTGGATGAGCTGGCAGAGGAAGGTCCGGAGAGGGATAGGCTGACCATGCCCAAGGAGATCGTCTGCATGGAGATCAGCGAACGACATCCAGCCGGCCTGGAACAGGTGCAGCAAGTGCAGAGCTATATGGAGAAAGTGGTCAGACCTTACCTTGCCAAGCGGAATCACTTGGATGCGGACGTTTGGATTCGGGGCTACGAAAGGAACCGGCTAAAGGTCTCCAACTACAACCGACGCTTCACCCAGCTGGCCCTGCTCAATCACATCGTGAGCATACTCCACGACAAAGCCGTGAGTGGAATCCTTTTTGTATTCTTTCAAGGGTGGTGCATTCTTAACATTACTATCGTGGTTCCAGCAAAAAACATTCGAGCGCAAGGTGACGGCCAACGTTTTTCTGAAGGACCCTGAGTTCCTTCAGCGTCGTGTGGCTGGTCTGCAGCAGCGAGCCACCGAGTTGTTGAGCGTCTACGAGCAAAGCTACTGCAAAGAGTGAGTGAGCTGGGCAGTCTCGGGGATCAGTTCAAATATAGTTCATTAATTTAATGAATTCTCCCTCCCAGCAAGCTGAACATAAAGCTTAACAGCATTGTGCCTGTAATCCTGAAGCATATACAGAACAAAGTGCAGCCCGAACAGAAAAAGGAGGAGCCGATGCTGGCGCTGAAGCCCGCACAGAAATCGTCGAGGCAATGGCGCACTAGGGAAGACATGCAGGCTCCTCCGGCAACCGCCAAGTCAACGTACGAGGATGAACAGGACACGACCCTGGCCAAGGTGGAGAAGATCCAATCCTATGTTATGGTAATATAAATAATCCTCAACACAAGCTAACGCTGCCTAACGATGTCTTGGAACAGGAGCTACTATCCCAGCTGGACCGCCTTGAGCCGAGTAAGCTCCGAAGCGTGGAGCAGCAGGTTCGACGCGGCATGGCTGCGGAGAAGGAAATGTCGCGACGGGCACTGGTCAAGCAGAACCGCCTACACAACTGGATGGAGCACTTTAAGAAGCATCATCGCTTGCAACTGCAGCAGCGACGCAAGAACAAGCTCTAACTCACTCACAAACTCACTCGATTTCAATATACATATATATATAGACCCAATTTAGACTGATTAATTTAGGTTCATTAGAACGAGGACTCACCTGACATCGGTTCCGGCAATGGCCAGATAGGTGCCGCTCTGGTCGAAGCACAGATCCTTGACCTCGTAGCCATCGTCCAGTTGGATTGTTTTAAAGTTCTTTAACTTGCGCAAATCCCACAGCTTCACACAGGCGTCGTCCGCTGCGGTGGCCAGGTAGTAGCCGTTCTCGGAGAAGGATATGGCCGAAATTGGACCAGTGTGGCCGGGGAAGTTCGCCACATTGCTCTGCTCCTTCAGATCCCAGATCTTGACTTGGGAATCGACAGTGCCCGTGCCGAAAATCAAGCCGTCGGGATGGAACTGGGCCGTCGTCAGACCAACCTCGGCCGTGTCTATAACCTTTGTGAGCAGCCGTCCAGTACGTATGTCCGAAAAGGCCCAGTGCTTGTCGGACGATGTGGAAAGCAAGTAGTCGCCTGTGGGATGTAGCGAGAGCCCGGTCACCGGTCCGTCATGACAGCCCAAGAGTAGCTGCGTCTGGGATGTGGGAACGTGCCAGATGCGAATATTCATGTCGGGGGAGCCGGTTATGACTGTGTCCTCGTTGGGATGGTAGATTACTTTGGTGATCTTCTTGGTGTGTCCCTTGAGGATAGCCACCACCTGCTCTGTGTCCTTGTTGAAGACGGTCGCGTTCTTGTCATTGCCGCCGGTCAGGATTTTGCTGTGGTCGGCACTATTGATGTCTAGGGCCAGGATGCCCGGCACCGAGGCCGAGTGCAGGCCAGGATGGGAGGCCACCGTGAGGAAACTCTTCACCTGATCTGGTGAGACCAGATCCTCCGGCACGGTGCGTCCGCGCTTCTTGCGCTCCTGCGTGAGCACTGTGGCCTTGTCCTGTAGCTTCTGTATCACCTCTGCATTCATGCCAGCCTGCTCCATTGGATGGGCTGCGGCACCGCCAGCCTCAGAGGCCAGTGCCGGCTGCGGAATCGTCGTCGGTGCATTCATAACACCGGCCTGGGGCTTCAGCGTGGCCAGAGCCTCGCGAGCAGCGGCCACTTCCTTGTTCAGGCGTGCAATCACGCGGCAAGCGGCGTCATGTTGATACAGGGCATGGGACAGCTCTTGTCGCGTTGTCTGCAGCTGTTGACGTTGTGTGAATGAGTGGATCATAAGGGCGTCCCACTCGTCCTGCATTGTTTTCAGAGTAGCCGGTATGCTGGTGGCACTGGGCGGCTTGGGTTTTACCAACGCCGGCGTTTTCAGTTCAATTAAGTCCTCCGACTTCAATTCCTTGCCGCTAATGGGATCGCAGCCATTCTCCAATAGATACTTCTCAATCACCCGTTTTTCGAAGACGGCTCCAGAGTGGGGAGACACGACGGGCGTCTCGGGGACTTCGTTTGTCACTGGTGGAACGGAAGACCGAAAAAGTGAGTTTCCACACAAAGTCGCTTCAGAAATATACAATTACTTACGTGCGCAAACCAATGCCATTGCAATGCGTGTTTATAAACTTCTGTGCGGCTTCTTTTTTGATATAAATAAAGTTTTTACACGTTTTTCCAAATCAAGCGCAAAAATTGTCGGCAAATGCCGCTTAGTGTGACCGCGGAATCGACCGAAATACACCTTCTTGATTTTAAAATATACCAAATTACCATATAGGTTTCAACATTTACCGACGAAAATACTGAATTGTGAACATCCTGAACTGCAAAATTCTTGCTAAACAATTTTCTGTCGAGCAAAAAGCAGGGTTGATTTCTTATCGTTTTTATAAGAAAGTCATCCCTGGTGCTGTCGCAATAATATTTTTCGTGTCTGAGTACCTCTCTCTTTTTATATTTTACCACCATACCATTGGTAATACCACTATACTATTTGGTTAGTGGTGATACAAATTCAGTATATTTTATTCTTATTATTAAGACAGTCACAGTGCAGCGCAAACATTTTCGAATAGCCACGTTACGTCGTGAGTGGCAACTCTTTGGCGCCCAGTGAGTTTTAGACATAACACTTGAACATAAAGAAACTATATAAGGAGGCCTCGTCCATAAAGCAACTTTATAGCATAAAGCAACTATATAAGGAGGCCCCGTCGGTGGCAGAGTTACTCGCTGCTTTACCCAATTCTCAGTGCTCGTTTGCTTGTCGACGCGGAAGGTTGGTTGCGGACAAATTTTTTTTTCAATATTTTTTTAATGTTTATTTTTCAGAACACATACTACTATTAAAAATTAAATTATGAAACAATTATTATGTTTTTTCACATTGCCTTCAAATGATGAATCAGCACACTCCATTGTCGTTGCCCTCACACTTACAGCGAGAGCCCTTTCACTCGCACTTTTCACTCGCACTAGTCCATAATTTTTTCCGACGAGACCTCCTTATATAGTTGCTTTATGCTATATAGTTGCTTTATGAACATGAAGAAACTATAAGGAGGTCTCGTCGGAAATACTAAGAAATTCGGGCAAGTGATAAGTGCGAGTGAAAGGGCTATCGCTTTAAGTGTGAGGGCAACGACAATGGAGTGTGCTGATTAACCATTTGAAGGCAATGTAAAAAAACATAATAATTGTTACATAATTTAATTTTTAATAGTTTGCTTCATGATAGTAGTCTGTGTATAATATAATATATAATAAACATTTTGAAAAAATTTGAAAATAAATTTTGTCCGCAACCAATATTCCGCGTCGGCAAGCAAACGAGCACTGATTGCAAGAAAAAGCAGCGAGTAACTCTGCCACCGACGAGGCCTCCTTATAGTTTCTTCATGGACCATGAATGTACTAAAACAAAGCCGAGCTGGTAAGTATTGGAGTAAAACTGTAACAATTTACATATCTCGACGTGGCGATTTCCACCTTGTAATGGCGGGTGGCCAAATAATCCCCCTCTACCCAAGAGTAGAGCGGTAACATAAAACCTCAAAAAAAATTTAAAAAGCCGAGCTGGTTTTGCGATGCAGATTAATAATAATCCCGGCCAGGATAACACTATGGCATAAGACCAGGTATAACAATTACAGTTCACCGTGCAATCTTGATGCTGTGTATCATTTCCGTTTCACTCATGATGTCATGGATAAACTAGGTCACGGACGTATTACGCAGCAAAACTGCAGAAATCTCTCTGTTCCATGCATTCAGGCTCTGCGGCGGCGTCAGCAACAGTTTTTCCAACCACCGACGTTGTAAACATTTTCTTTAGACAGAGCGCCTAATATTGTACCTGTATTTTTGGGGTGAATTTGGAATTACAAAATGCGCATGAATCCCCCCATCCCATTAACAACGATGGGATGCGGTAATGCACCCCAACAGAAACTTCGTGGAAACTAAAAACTGGGTCAACTACGCAATATCGTGATGATTTATGATTTTAGAGGTGGAGAATACGAATGCTAGGGATGGATGGTGTTGCATTAAAAATGTATTTATTAACTTAGATTCAACCAAATTTAGTCTTGGGTAAGATAATTCGAGCAAACTGATGCCTGCATTGGTACATTATATCGCAATGATGATGGATTCTCTTAAGTTATTTAAATATTACTACTGCTAAATTTATGTATGTACACTTTGACAAAAATACATCGGAGGTGCATGCCGCCCTCCTCTATATGACATTGTTTGGTGTAGCCTTCAAAACTAATTTCGTTTGGGTGCAAGTCTCTGTGCGGGTAAAGAGAAACTATTTATTGTGGTAGTGGGGTTGGGGGTGGTGGTGTGGAGTGCGCTGGACGTCCTGTAACGATTCGATCTGCTAAGCTGCTGTTTAAAATTACGTTTGCTTTGATTGTAGTTTATATCTGTATTTATGTATGTATGTTGCTGGAGTTCTTCTGGTTGTTGTTCAGCTAGCTAACTTAATTACAATCTTATTCACATGCTATACGTGTCCGTCCGCCCTTTTCTTACGAGTCTGCGAAATATCAAAATACATACATAAGTATGTATGTATGTGTACAACTATAAATGTCCTTCGTATTCGATCACAGCGCGCGCTCAATATCAAAACAAAACCTTTAAACAATAGTAACGCAAAGTTATGTTGCTATATATGTATGTAAGAGGCCAGGTGGCACGACACCAAAAAGGCTCCATTCCACGTAACTCAATTTTTTTTAAGGGGAGAAGGGACTTTTTGATTTAGTTTCAAGAAGCTAATGCGTTGTGGAGCGAGCACGCTTCGGGTGGGAGTAAAGGGAAATAAGCATGGATGGATCTGGTTCGTTCTTCTCGGTCTTCTTTCTCGCTTGAGCCGGCAGGCGATCAGTAAATGTCTTGGGTATGCCAGATTTGAGTAGCGTCTTGCGATCGTACATGTCGAGATTGTCGTTGTAGTAGGTGACGGCATCCCAGCACATTTCGCTAAGCTTTGGCACGGTCATCCACATCTTGTAAAGGCCGTTGCGCCGTCGCATCTCCTTGTCATTGTACTCTATGCCGCCGAACACGTACATGCAGCCGTTATCAGAATGTGCTGCCGAATGGAAGTACAAGGGACGTGGAAGACTTGTCTCAAGGAGGAACCACTGTTTGGTGCGCATATTCAGCTTCCAAATGTCCGAGAAGTATGTCGAAAAGTCACCCTAAGCATTGGGATAAAAAGTTGTTAGATACATATCAAGCAGAGAGCCCTGCAAGCCCTGAACGCACCTGTAAGCCACCCGTGATGAAGGCTTCGATGTCTCCATTGGTGGACTGGTGTTGCACACACGAGAAGCACTTGCGCGGCTTCGGATAGCCTTTATTGTTTCGCCCCACATCGACGATCCGTGGATCTGGGAAAGTGTCAAAGTAGTCCCAGCAGTTAGCATCCAAGTTGTAGGCAGGAATGCGCTGCAGATCGTAGACAGAGTGTGAAGTCCCGCCGCCAAGCACAAATATATGCTTTCCATCGTAGATCACCTCGTGGCGGTAGCGGCCCTCCGGATCTTCGCGCATCTCCGGTCGACTAATGTACACATTTTCCCACACTCCTGTGCGCAAGTCCAAGCGGTACACGTCGCAGGTATAGTCGAAGCCAGTCGTTCCCCCGATTGTGTACAGATAATTCTTGTGGATCACAATCCCCGGGCCGTATTGGGCCGTTGGCAGATCTCCGGTGACCTTTAGGCGATTGACGGCAGGCGTTGCCCCAACACTAGCCGTTCGATACACATAGCAATCGTTCGAACAGGACTCCCCGAATGGATAACCAGTACCTCCATGAGACTGCAAAGAAAAAGAAAACGAAAAATTGTACTCCCAAATGTACATATGTATTCTGTTTTTCCTACTTAGGAAGTGCGTACTGTTGTGCTGTGAGTGCATTTGCACGCCCCTGAAATGGTTGGCGATGCATTAAATTAGAAGATATTGAGCCAACAAAGCGAAAGCCAGCCACTGCTTATCTATTCGGGAGTGAACCGAACAGAGGCTGACCAATGTTGTCGCCCCGGATAAGCGGAAACATTCGTCTCCAGTATGTTTTGTGTGTATCGGTCATGATTCGTCATCAAATTATAGCTAATTGAGGAGTGCATGGGATGGGAAAAGGGCAGTTGCAGCCAAGAGCCAGCATAAAATGCTAAAGGCAGTTAGTCCCACTAGTCCCCCACAAAAAGCGCGCGCGCTCTCAGCTGGGATTACAGGGAGAGGGAAAGAGAGATGTGGCAGGGGAAGCAATTTTGTTTTTCATCGCGAGCTCTAGAGAGAAAAGCTGGGAAACAAGTTGTTGCATGCCGCAGCATAAACAACAACTGCGTAGTAACCAAAATGGAAAGCAAAACAACAGAAAGAGGGTTGGGACTCGCATGGCATGCGCATAGACAGGGACGGAAACAGAGGCCGAGGCGGTCTGAGAGAGAGAGACGGCAATGGCCATGGTGGCAGCTGTTGGCGCTCGGAATCGGGCGATTCCCGTTTCTTTGGGCTGACATTTCGAATGTTTAGAATGCACAAACAAAGCGGAGAGGCGGAAGAGCATCGAGGGCAGGGCAGGGCGTGGCATTGGCCCAGGCATTCATCCGTATTGCACGGAGAGCAGAGTTCTCTTTAACCCAATAATAATTTCTTTCAATAGATGTGCGGGAACTGCTGCAGTTCCTCTCTACAGGGCCCGTTATTGGACGGACTGCATAGGTGGCAGTCAGGGCAATCCCACACCCACATCCTGAACTCTCGTTTGCTATGAAAAACATTTTTTTCACTGCAATTCGCGGAACGGGGTGAACAGCGCGGGTCTAGGGGCTTTATCTAGCAGTTTCGCTTTCCTATTCACACACACACACACACACAGAACAGAGAGACAATCGTCTATTTTTGTCTTGCACCTCCCATCTCGACAAATACTCACAATCAACACGTTATTGTGAATGGTCAATGCGTTGGAGGCCAGCTCCACAGGCAAGTTGTCTGCATTCTCTGCATTCAGCTCCAGCCTCCAGAGATTGGTGGCAAAGTTGTAACTCCAGAGCTCCTGGAAGAGGAGGCAGCGACCGCGCCGAGCTGCATTGACAGCGCTCCGCGGATTGTAGCCGCCCAAGGAGTACAAATGAGAGTTGGAGGCGATGATGCGGTGGCCACTGCGAGCCAGCGGGAAGCCTCCAGCGCAATGCTTGTCCTTGTAGGCGCACTTCACCAGTCGCAGGGGCTGGAAGCTGTACTGGCGCAGTGTCTTTTGCTGCGGCTGCTGCTCCTCATCCGGGAAGAGGCACTTGCTCTGCTTGACTTTGGTGTCCCGTTCGTCTGGCTCGTCACTGGAGCTGCTCGATTCATCTGAATACATTTCCTCAAGCTCTGAGTCCGAGTCCGAATCGCCATAGTCGACATCAACATCATCGTCGTCCTCCTCGTCCTCATCATCCATGTCACTGGCCGCATCCATAGGCTCCAAAGCCCCAATAACATGGAAACGTGCCAACAAATCCGCATGTTCTCGCTCTTCCTCCTGTTGCTGGTCGACCATATTTTCTCGATCGCCTCCCTCCTCTGGCATGTCTTGCTCCTCTGGCATTTCTTGATCCATGATATTGTTGTTGTGCTCCCGATTAGATGGCAGCCCCAGGTGATGTCTGACTTTCGTGTAGATGTAGTGCAGCAGCTTGGCCACGAACAGAATATATCTCCAGGTATGACGCAGTGTGGATATAGTGATGCACTTGAGTCTGGCTGGTTGTAGCATGTGCATACCACGCTTAATTAACTGTATTATGTAATAGACAATTTTGGTCCCGCACAATTTTGGTTTTTACTTGGGATTTCAGAACGGAACGTAAAATATGTCTACTTTGTACAATTTTGGATAGTGTTGTTTTCGGGAGGGGGCCACGACCTCGCACAGCTGGTTTTGCTATACTGCTTGCTTTGTTGCTGTCATTTTGACATTCCTCGCTCTCACTCACTCGCACTCACAAACATTACACACATGTGCTGTGTGGAAAATGCACGTTTAAAATATTGAAACACAACGTTTTAAATCTATTTTGTATTGCCCTTTGATTGAGAGTGCATTGCATTCATAAAATATACGCGAATGGAAAACTACGCTTTAAAAAGATCTGCAAATCTACTATCGATAGTATCTGTGATTGCTATCGACTGGCTTGAACATCGAGTGTATAGTCTGGGGACTCCTGAAACGGATTTAAATTTAAGTTCTTTTTGGTTGAGATCTAAAATTGATCTAAATTGTTCCAAAAATTAAATAATCAAGTCTAAATAAAAATCACTAACACTAATCGCACATTACATTCTAATTATATATGTAGTCTTGGTTAACGGTTAATGGTGGGTATTCTGGTGGGATAGCCCAAGCAGACCGCGATCTCTCTCAATTTTCCTCGCACATGTCATTAGAGATTTGGAAAAACCATATGAAACGAGAAGGGACGTGTGAGACGCTTCTTACGCGTCACAGCTTTTATACCCTGTACTCAGAAAAACATCTCTACCTTAAAGGTTATTTACATATTTTACATTTTACATTTTATATTTGTTTTTCATCTTTCGTCAACATCTAAATCACTTCGCACTCCAACACGCTCCTTTAGCTCACCCCCTCCCCTAAAACCGCATACTGCAGAGGCAGAGGCCGCACACTGCACACTTTAAATTCTTAAAAAATTAGTCAGAATATGTCCTTGAGGAAAACCAATGTAGATTTTGTCGAGCAGTGTAATTACACTATTAATTACAATTATAATTTGACGAATTTCAAGCAATTAAAGTTGAGATAAATAATCAACATAATTCAATACATTATCTTCAAGAACACGGCGCAAAAGCCAAACAATAGGCATATAAAATGATTGACCAGAACCTTGCAAGCCACCTCATGACCTCCCACAATACCAGCAATGTCCTGGGCACTGATGCGCATACGTGTAAAACAGTGTTGTTTCCTCAAATCTGGATGAAAATTAGTTCGAAATATTTCCGCATCAACCTGCTGGTGGTTCGGATTCTGGAGCGATCCTGATCATCGCCGATCATGATCCATGATCCATTTCTTGTAATCGTGCATCGGTGATTAAGTTATCCTGGTAAACGCGCCCAATTGCCTTATGTCGTAGTGATGGCACCCACATTATCGATACAAGCTTTCTTTATATTATATGATGGTTTACTGCGTATTTTTCTTATCCTATTTTCAAATATCATATGTTCTTCATTAGAACTATCGTATGACATTTTTGCAGAACAATGGTGGAACCGAACCCAGCTTTGGGGGTTCGCGATGGAGTAAAAATGTACTGAAAGAATTAGCAATATAAAAGAGCCAGATGTAGTGGTTTCACTCTTTTTATACCCGGTACTCGAAGAGTAAATAGGGTATTTTGTATTTGTTCGGAATATCGGTTGTTTGTAGGGCACAGAAGGGAACGTTTCCGACCCTATAAAGTATATTGTATTATATATTGTTCTCAGAGACTATAAGAGCTAGAGCCACCAAATTTTGGCTCCGGACTGCTGTATGCTCCCACTGAAATCAGTGTATTTAAAAACGTATCCCACCAAGAGCGAAAACCTACCAAAGCTACAATTTAGAAGATAAAAGAAAAACGCCATTCCGTAGGGAAGGAACACATATATTAGAACACCAAATTGGGATACGATTGGATCATTATGATAGCCAGAATGAATAAATTAATTTGCAGTGGCTAAACCCACCAAGTCCCGCAGCTTCTGCCTCTGCCGTGACTCTGCAATGTGTGGCTCTATGGAAGGGGGCGAGCTAAAGACAGATGAAGAAAACAATTTTACAAAAAACCGTAATTGTTAGTTTTAATTAAAACTATGGGGGCTTGCAATCGAGTGATGCGAGTCTGCAGAGGGCTTGGCCCCTAGTTAAATAATATTTATACAAATCTTACTTTTGCTTCTTTTAAATATGTATGGTACTGCCCTTATGGTGGCAATCATTAAATTAAGATCGTCGGCCGGTAGGTTCCTCAATGAGGTCAGCGCCTGAGCGACAAGAGACTGGTCTCCAGCGTTTGGGCTCTTGGGCCTCCGCATTGACGTTCACTTCAGCCGCGGCCAAGTTGGCGGTCCCACCGTTGACGGCCCGGTTGTGGGCATCCGCTGTCCGTGCTGGCTGAAAAGCTGACCCGGAACGGTCCTTCGCTCCTAGGGCACGGGTGTTGAGCTCCTGTTGCAGCTGTTGAGCTCCTCCCTCTTGCAGCCTCCTGGCGATGTGCGGACTATCACTTATCACTTAAAACTTCCTTGGTATCGGTTTTTTCCATTTTTAGAGTCGCCTAGTAGTCCCTTTAAGAAGGCTTTCAAAAAATCTTTAATCAGATTAATCTTTAATCGACATTTTATCCCCTTAGTAAATCCGTTAAATGTTTGATGATTCTGTAATGTGTGGTAGGTCGCAAATGTATTACTTCCACGTAGTTGCTATGTAAGATAAAAAGATAAATTTTTTTTCAACTTTAATATATAAAGCACAGTCTTTAACAATTTTTAATTTTAAAAGGTTTAATTGCAGAGAGTTGATTCAGTAATCGGTTAAAATTATAATATATGGGTAAATGTTTTAAATAAAACATGAAAATCAATTTTCACATTTCACATTTGGAAATGTGAACTGGAACTTTGTAAAATATATTGTATTGTTTTGTACCTTCCTTGTTTAAAACTTAGTTTATATACAATCCAGTAAATATGAATATTTATTTTAAGCCAAAGTGATATTATTGTTTCAGTGTTAAAAGTCAAGTCAAGCAAGCTGGTAATATCAAATATAACATAAAAATCGAGGAATATGATTTAAGAATACGGTATATTGAAAAAAATTGTTTAAATGTATATTTTGTTATATTTTTGAGTCTCAGCTGGCATTCTTTATCGATAGCTCGTTATCGCACTGTTCTCATTACTACGGCCACAAACTAAATCATGATGCAACTATAGAAGGTGGTCTCCTCGGTCGGCGTTCGGGTCTGTTCGGCTCTATTTTGTCTCAGTGCGCTTGTTCATGCGAAAGGTTGCGTATTAAGCATGATATTAAGCATATGCGCACTGCAATTCAATTTCTGCAGTTTTTAGTGAGAACATTGTAGGAGCAAAGTCTGGGCTGCAGCCATGGTGTAAATTTGGTCATATGCGATCCGCTTATAAACAAACCTAAACTCGTTTTCTTGCAATGGGCAACTTTAAAGCTCATGCCATCACATGGTTAATCGTCACACGATAGTTTCGTTTCCCTCACACTTACTGCTCAGAACGCTGAGTGTGAATCGCGTAGAACCATCATGTATGTGAGGAATAACGATTTGTTCACACGTTGAATCATTTGCCATGAATCTTGGATCTTATCTGAGGGCTGAACGAGATAGACATATGAGATTGTGAGCATTTCACGTACACATGTATCTGCGATTAAGACTCATCGTCTAATTGTAAGATAACTAAAATAAAATTGCCAAAGAGGATATTTAATAATTGTCTGCAAACAGGTCTTAAAAAAAAAAATAGCATAAATAGTAGAGCGTTTGCCGACGAGACCACCTTGTATAGTTGCATCATGCACCAAACTTACCCTATTCAAGAAAATATCGACAGCCCCGTCGTCGAACTGAAGAACCTAGTCAATGCGAATTCATCGTCGTGCGACCATCGCTGTAGCGATTAGATAACAACAAAAAATAATATTCGGATGCGGTGTCAACTCAATAACAAAATGCTGATTAACTATAAATCGAATAGACTTTGATAGCGATAAACTCGGATGTGGCACAAAGCATTGCGCCTGACGTTGGCCCCGAGGTCGTATGGTGTATCATAAAAGTCAAGTCGTCGCATTTCGGTTAGGTCCCGCGCAATCTGAAGGAATGACCGAGTCCAACCAATACTTTACTCCACGCATGTTTAAAATTGCAGCGCGCGTGTCATAGTTTTCAACCCCAATCCGTGGTAATAATAGTTGCTTTATCTCCATAAAACCTCTTGAAATTCCAATGAATAACTCAAATAAAGTGATAAAGGGTCGTCATCAACTACATTTGAATGTTTTTATAAATTGCACAGATTTTGCAGTCCACTACCCTTCATAACCTTAAAAAGGCACGTGCATTTGCTCCGTTTGCGGCGTAGAAGAGTTTCCACGTACATATATCAGACACCGACGGAGAGCCTAACGACCGCTGTTGCGCCTGCCACGCCGAGAGTTGACAGGGACCTACGCGACGAGATGGCAACAGCAGCCGACCAGCTAATGTCACCTGCCGCCCTCGCCACGATAGCGACAGTCAGCAACGGGCAACAGTCTCTGCTGGCAACGACAGCACTGGCACCATCAGCAGCTGCAGCGATGGCAGTCAGGAATGGACAGGAGCAGCAGGAGCTCGTCGAGAGCCAAAAATCCACATCCCCAAAGCCAAGCCCCATGCCTAGCCTGAAGTTGAACAAGATGGGCTCCGTGTCGAGCAAGGAGAAGCGTGTGTACAAAATCGTTTTAACTGGCGGTGAGTTTTCTTCCAGTAAATTGAAAAAGTGCTACTCTTCGGCTGTGTGCGTTTTGTGTATCTGTTACAAGTGTCTCTTCGCTTGGTCTCCTGCCACCCCTTAGCTGCAATTTGTTGCCGATTTATGTCAAGGTCGCAGGCCTGCGTGGTGGGGTAGCATTTCTGCGCGCAGATTCCCCATCCAATGGCGGCGTCTGTCGTTTGATAAGATTGGCTCCCATTCCCACAGCAGGTATTCGCTACCGGCTTTATTCCATAGTAGCACATAATTTACATTTGAATGTAAAAGAGCGCCAGAAACCTGTTTATTCCTCGCGCTCATATGGTATTGCTTCGGCGCGTGGTTTAATCACTTAATTTGGCCGAAGTTATGACTGTGATTAGGTTTAGGTAGAACGCACGACGGTATTGACGTATTGAGGAGGCCTATCTTCTATTTGCCTGTTGCATGAACAGAGACAAAACTATACATTCGTATAATTTGTACTAGTCTATTATCGCATTTTGGTATTGACTTCCTCTGCCGCACCACCATAATCGTAATTTGTCAGCAGGCTGA